TAAAAATTGAGAATAATTCAAGACTGGTGAATAATTCAAAGATGTTTTTGAAAACTTGAGAATGACAGATTAAGATTGAGAAAATATGTAAAAGAATATTGCGGTAAAAGACACCAACACCTTTCTGATCCCCACCTTGTAATAGTAATTAATGTTTACATTTAATTACCTATTGATCAAACAATTCACCATCTATCAATTGATTAGTTAAGCCCTAATTCCTTAGTGATCTTAACTTTATTAACCCTATTAGAATCCTAGTCCCTTAGAAATCCTTTTTCAAGTTAATCCTTTAAACCAATGAATTTTCCACGTTTGCAATTCATGTAACCTATCCCTAGTGTATACATGAAATGTTATTTTACCCTCTGTCAGGTTCTAGAAGAATTATAAGATGAAGAACAGGATAAAATAAATGCAATGGAAATAATTAAATATAAAAATTAACCAAACTACAAGGGGTTCGCATCAAGGGTTGTGACCCTTACCACAATAATAAAAGACTAGCCAGACATATTCATGTCTGACAATTCAATGTATAGAAAAGAATTCATAAAATAAACTAATAACTAGAAAAATTGAGAAGAAGAAGGCTTCAATCGTCAATCCTCTGCATCCGTGTTCTTCTCCGTGAAAAAGTCTTTTTTCATTAGGTTTCTGACTCCTTTTTATAGCCCATGAGTCAATCAGGTTAAAATCTTCTAAAAGATTTGATTTGATTTCCTGATTTCGTCCAAATCCGCACTTTAGAAAACAATCAGCACGATGTCGCGCGATTAGCGCCAGATCCATGCTAATCGCGTGGTGACCCAGTTGAGAATTCCATTCCTGGTCCGAGTAGCGTGAGCACCGCGCTATTAGCGCGGATTACAGTGATTTTTGTCCCTTCTTCCTGTCTTGTGGCGCGATCCGCGCCATCTGCAGTTGTTCGAAACCTAGCTTACTTTCATGCTTTTCTCTTGAAAAAACATACAAACAGAGTGAAAGTGTGCCTGAAGGAAACTTATCAAGGATTCATTAAAAATGCTATTTTTTATCACTAAATTACTGTCAAATCCTTGTTCTTTTTGCTCTAAAATACCTATATGCTGAAGGCACATCACAATACATGGATTACTTGCTTAAGCTTTGGGATTTCGTGAGCAGGATGATTATGCCGCCAATGACGATGAGTACGATGAAAAATTGAAAAAAGAGACACTCACCCTTTTCTTTTTAGCTACGTAAGTGTTTTTTTGCAGCAATTTTATTTTACTTTTTTATTTATCTTTTGGTTTGTTTCTATTCATCTATGTGTCGTGGGGTGGGTGTAGATATGGTGATGGTGAACCAACTGATAATGCGCTAGATTTTATAAATGGTTTACGGAGGTAAGTTTGACATTGGCTTTAGTTGTATTAATATTGAGAGTGAAATAATTGCATCATGTCTTGACTATATGACTGTGATTTAGGGAAATGAGAGAGGAGAATGGCTTCAGAATCTTCAGTTTGTTGTGTTTGGCCTGGGGAATAGGCAGTATGAGCATTTTAACAGTATGAGCATTTTATAGAATTTGTATCAGCAAGTGAAATAATCACAGCATTCCTTAAGTCTCTGGTCAACCCAAATATCGTCAAATTTCTTCCTTTCTTGATACAGCGAATCAGAACAGCTAACAACTCAGGATTATTTTTTGATACATCGAATCAGAACTGCTAACAGCTCAGGATTATTTAATTTTCCTTCAATGAGTTGATCTGTATTTTTTTAATTTTATGGCTTTAATCGGGAGGCATATGGTTTAAATTCTGAATCTGTTTTCACCGATGATTTGATGTATTGTGATAACTGCTATCTATCATACAATATAATTGTAAATTTCTAATTATGTCAATTATTTCTTGTGGTAAAAACAAAATATCTGTTGGGATAATTTCCTTTTCAATTTTCTTATTTTTGCATGGATTGGCTTAATTGTTTGTTGTACGGAGAGCTCTTGTGAATGAATGCTGATATGCTTGCTCATTTGTCTATCTATATATTATAATACTGATGATGGTAAAAAGTTATGCCTTGGAATCGTCAAACAGTCAGATTGTTCATCATTGCTTCCAATCCAAAACCCTGGTGGCCTTAACGCATGAGAGCTTGGAAAATATGATGCAACAGAAGTGATAGTTACTACACAAAATTCATGTTCAACAAGAGATCCATGTGAGGATAATTTCAACAGGGATGCTGGTGAATTACCTCCAGTAGAAAAGGCTTCACAGAATGATTGTGATAATTTCAAGAGGATATTTTTTTAATTTTATGGCTTTAATCGGGAGCATATGATTTAAATTCTGACTCCGTTTTCCTGCATCATAGTGCTTCGAATATAATCGTCTGTCATGCAAATTTGGTGATCTACCTGGATTCTTAATTCTTTGATTTGTCTTTCCGTTTCTATCAATCTTTATCCTTTCTGATTGTTTACTTTTCTCAAGGTTTTATTACCATTAATATCAGTTTCTTTTTTTATTTGAATGGGTTCATCCTAGATGGGCTGTCTTCTTGAGATTATTGAAAAATAACAAAATTATTTATATTGTAAAATAAATTCGAAATTTAGAAATAAATTAAATAGAAAATTATGTTCACAATTTTTTGTGGCAGACAACTCATTCAATGTCTCACTGCATTCTACATTGAAATTTCCAAATTAATAATAACTCAACTCTTCTAAATTTCAAATTTATGTTTAAATTTTGAATTTTTAACTTTGTAATGGTGGGAAAGGATATAGAAATAAAAAATTAAATAAATAATTATTTCTTTCAAAAATCGAAATAAAAAATAATTTGAAAATTAAGTTAATCATTTATGGTGGCAGACAACTCATTCAATGTCCCACTGATTTGTACATTGGAATTACTCAGCTATTTTAAATGCTTTATACATTGGAATTGCTCACTCTTTTGAAATTCGAATTCTGAATTGATTTCAAATTTTTGATTTCAATTTTAAATTTCAAATTATAATGGTGGGAAAGAATTTGGAAATAAAAAATTAAATGAATAATAATTTCTTTTAAAAATTGAAATAAAATCAATGGAAAATTAAGTTAATCATTTATGGTGGCAGACAACCCATTCAATGTCCCACTGATTTGTACATTGAAATTGCTCAGCTCTTTTAAATGCTTTCGACATTGGAATTGCTCACTCTTTTGAAATTTGAATTCTGAATTGATTTCAAATTTTGGATTTCAATTTTAAATTTCAAATTGTAATGGTGGGAAAGGACTTGGAAATAAAAATTTAAATAAATAATAATTTCTTTTAAAAATTGAAATAAAAAATCAATAGAAAATTAAGTTAATCATTTATGGTGGCAGACAACTCATTCAATGTCCCACTGATTTGTAGATTGGAATTACTCAGCTCTTTTAAATGTTTTTTACATTGAAATTGCTCACTCTTTTGAAATTCAAATTCTGAATTGATTTCAAATTCTGGATTTCAATTTTAAATTTCAAATTGGAATGATGGGAAAGGATTTGGAAATAAATAATTAAGTAAATAATAATTTCTTTTAAAAATCAAAATAAAAAATCAATGGAAAATTAAGTTAATCATTTATTGTGGCAGACAACTCATTTAATGTCCCACTACTTTTTTGTTGTTGTATATTATGGGTAAAAAAGACCTTTACTTTTTTTTGTTGTTGTATATCTCACTATTTTTTTCATGGGTAATTGTTAGCCCTATTAATGTTGCATAAAAAAACAAAAACATTAAAAAAAATTGTGAAATAACAAAATTATTTATATTGTAAAATAAATTCAAAATTTGGAAATAAATTAAATGAAAAATTATGTGAACAATTTTTAGTGGCAGACAACTCATTCAATGTCCCACTGCATACTACATTAGAATTTCCAAATTAATAATAACTTAACTCTTCTAAATTTTGAATTTATGTTTAAATTTGAATTTTGAATTTGAATTTTTAACTTTGTAATGATGGAAAACTTTTAGAAATTTTTTTGTGGCAGACAACTCATTTAATGTCCCACTACTTTTCTTTTGTTATATATTATGAGTAAAAAGACCTCTACTTTTCTTTTGTTGTATATTCCACTATTTTTTGCATGGATAATTGTTAGCCCTATTAATGCTGCATAAAAAAACAATTGGGTTGTTGAAGATGATTTGAAATATTTGCGGAGTGAGATGGCAATTGCGTTAGAATGTATCAAGGTATTTCCTTTTGATTTTTAACATAACTTATGAATATTCTTTTTAGAAATAAAAAAAAATTATTTCTTTTTAGAAATAGTGCTAGAAAGAGAATGGTTGTTATGCACACCCTTATTTATATTTTCCTTCAAAACTACCTTACAATATAAGCTTTCGTTTTTGTTTCTTATTTGTATCATATTATTATGGGTTCGCTTTTTCTACCGTCAACGTAGATAACTTATCTACAGTGAGCTCAAAACGATGTCGTTTTGAGGCGGAAATCAAGGTATTTTTGTAATTATAATTTATTTCAGGGTTATAATAGTCTTTTTCATTATAATTTTTTAATTTTTTAACCCAAAACAACGTCGTTTTGGGAACGAACGTAGATAACTTATCTATATTCACTTTAGAAACATTAAAGCCTATTATTATTATTTATAATCATTGTAATCAATACAATTAGCAAATAATTCCTTGTATTCCAAGCCTAAACCAACCCAATTGGGTGTGAATTTTTCAAGAGAAAATTAAGATTTCCAACCAAAAACAAACCAATCAATTTTCATAACTTGAAATTCAATCAAGTCGGTTCAAATAATTTTTATTTATTGGGGTTTATTTCCAATTAATCGCTGTAGATCCAAATATATATCCCAATCCCAAACCCATTTAATTGCATCCTAGCCCATGACCCGGCCCAGGTCCAGGCCCAAGGAGATAAAAGAATAAAAAAAAATAGTCTCAACCTAGAACATTAGAAGTTGTAAGAAAGTAAAGGCAACTCCATTCTTCAGTGCTCAACACAGAACAGAGAACAGAGATGGGAAAGAAAAACAAAATGAGGGAAGATGGTGGCAAAGAACACTGTCCTTCAACTCTCTTTGTTTCCAATTTGCCCTATTCGTTTTCCAACTCTCAGGTATTCATTCATTTTTATTTTTCTTTCCTCTTCTTTTATCATTATTATTTTTCTAATTATTATATTTTTATGAATTTTTTAACCTAAAAACTCAGCTCGAGGAAACGTTCAGCGAGGTTGGACCTGTCAGGCGTTGCTTCATGGTCGCACAGAAGGGTAAGGATTAAGGAAAAACCGCACTTACTTTTAATAATAATAATAAAATTATTTATTCCGTTTTTTTTTAATTATAAAAATATTTTGTATAAAAACTTATTTATCTTTGCTTAATGATCCTCAGGGTCAGCCCAGCATCGTGGTTTCGGTTATGTTCATTTGTAAGTTTATTTGTTGTGCCTTTCAAAAATTTAATTCATCATCTCTGGTTTTTAGCTTATGCTAATTTGATTCGGTTTCTTGCTTATTATTTTGCTTTGGTTATGGATGAATTCAACTGAAGCTACCGTTAAGTATGAATAGTATTAAACAGTGAAGAGATTTGAGAGAGAGAGAGAGAGAGAGAGAGAGAGAGAGAGAGAGAGAGAGAGAGAGAGAGGAGAAAAAGTGTTTCTGCTAATACTTTGATATGTCTGAGCTTAATGATTCTGAGTACATTAGATGAGTTTGTTAGTTGTTGTAACAGCTTAGCACAACTGACTAACCAATCTGTAACTGACTAACTAACTAACTAACTAACTAACAAAGCAAATTAACACTAACTCATGCACTGCATATAATGCAGTAGTTATACAGTATGCTAACACAACACAGAAGTGTAAAGATATCAATGTAAATGCATATATTTTAATATACTGAAACCTTGGCTTGGATAACCATGTCAAAGTTGTTCCTTTTTGGAAAAATGCACTCTGATTGTATGGACTTTGGAATATCCCGTGGTTTAGTGTGGATCGCTATGTGCTGTTCAGCTACACTATCTCAGTACACTTCCGCGATCTTGAGACGAAGTTGCTGATGAAACTTGATGTACCATGGTTCACAAAAATTACTTGAGGGGTTATCAATGGACAAACTTTTTAAAAACATTATTCTAGTTATGACAGTTGCATAATGTTTCAATTGAGACTTGTCTTATTTTGATGGTGGTAATTGGTAAATTAATTTGTAGTCATGATTTGTTGGTTATCTCTGTTTTTATATAATAAGATATGTCTCTATTCTTTCACATTTATGAGAAATAGAATTTGTGACTTGGCTTTCTCATCTCATGTTTGGTATTAATTGCTGTTATCTTCAGTGCTGTTGAGGAAGATGCTAACCGAGCTATTGAGCTGAAGAATGGTTCATCTGTTGGAGGCCGGAAAATTTCAGTGAAGCATGCAATGCCTCGTCCTACCCGTGAAGAAAGACAATCAAAACCAAATCAAGGTTGATCTACTCTCTAATTCTGGTTCAGAATACTTTGATATTTTTATATTATATACTTTCTGAAAGATGTGTAGATGATTTAACTTTATCAGTATTCTTCTTCCTTTGTTTTCTTTTCTTTCTTTTTCTTTTGTGATTTAATAGCGGGCAAGACAGATGATCTCACAGAGTCAAAAAATAATGATAAAGACAGCAGATTATCTGAAGAAGAGAAGCCAGTTTCAGTTTTGAAGGAAGAAGGTTGAGAATATGTTTCTGCAGTACAATTATTTTTATTATTTTGTCATTTCTATATTCATTTCTTTTTCTTAATTTTCTTTTTCTTCTCATTTAGAAGTACAAGTATCAAATAAACAAAAAAACTCAAGGAAGCCCTTGGAAATGAGAAAAGCAGCTCTTTGTAATGATGTAGCAGATGAGGGGGGTTGCTCAGAAAAGCAGAGGTATTTACTCTTTTCTCCTTTTCTGTAATTGTACTTCAGCCTGTTTCTTATATCAGTTAGTCGATAGAGAAGTAAAAGATAATCCCTCAAAACTGATTCTTACATGGTTGAGATTAAGAGGAAAAGAGATGATCTGATCCCGACTTGTTTCTTTTCTTATTTGTGATGTATATTTCATTCCAAAAATGTTGGTCCTCACTTCCTTTTTTTTGTTTTTTTGGCAGGGTTGCAAGAACTGTTATATTTGGTGGTCTTATGAATTCTGATATGGCTGAAGATGTTCACCACAAAGCCAGAGAGATTGGCACTGTGTGTTCCATTAAGTACCCCCTTTCAAGGAAAGATCTTGAGCAACATGGTAACTTCAGATTTGATCTTTTCAGCCCATGATATATATACTGCAGATGAGATATGTTTTATGTTTATTTAATGGTGTGATATGTCATAGTTATATTCAAAAAAGATATAACAAGATCTATTTTTTTTGTCTTTACTGAATAATTATAGTAGGCTGTGTTCATGTTCTTTCAAGTTCAGATTTTACCGTTGTTTTGTACTTAGTGTAAAGGCATCTCGTGGTTAATATACGAAGCAGATTCTAATGTAGACTTGCTCTTTTCTTATATTGCTTTAAGTGCTTTGGAAGTTGTCAATCTTATGGTTTTAATGCTCAATCCTTTTCAGTTTTTCAAACAAACATTTAGTTGTATTTTAACCCATATGATCATATTGAGTACTGATAAGGACACTGAAATTTGTTCTTTCACTTATATCGCCAAAGAGATGGCTTTCCGGCTATAATGTTGATCAACAAGATTAAATTCATTGTATTACTTATTTAAAGATGCTTTATACTTCTTGTGATGGTAGTGGTCATTATGAAATTTTTCCAGGTCTCCTGCAAGATGGCTGTACTTTGGATGCTTCAGCTGTACTTTACACAAGTGTAAAATCAGCTCGAGCTTCTGTTGCAACATTACATAAAAAAGAGATAGGAGGGGGAACTGTTTGGGCCCGCCAACTGGGTGGAGAGGTAAAGTGCTTGCCATCTAACTCGCCAGAGTATAATATCATCATGCTCCAGAAAAGTATCTTTTGTATATGGATAACTGCTAGCTGATAGGAGACGCTTTATTGCTCTGTATTCATGAAATGTTACTTACTGATTTATGTTAGAAAATTCATATTCCATGGTATTATTTTGAATCTATTATTCATCTTCTAAAAATTAAATAGAGAAAACCTTTTCTCTCGTGAAAAAGCCATTAGTAACTGTTGAGTTTCTTTCTGCTATTGATCAGCACATTACAATGTGACATGTATTGTCCTAATATGTAGGAAGTTACATAATGTGAATTTGTGATACATATGTCTCTGGAGCCTTCAAATGTTTTTCTTTTGGATTTTTTTCCAGTTTCTCATCTTTATAAGCAAAGTATTCTTTTAATTGTTTCCTCCAATACAATGTGTATGATATATGACAATCTGTTCTCTGAACTAGGGAGTTGTGTTTGTCTACCCTGCCCAACATTTGGGCTGAAAGACCATATAGACATTTTTATAGTATTCAGCCAGGCTGGAATGACATTTAGTGATTGTAGGCTTTACTTTGGTTTTCTAGGAAATTGTTATGACCCATTCGCAATGTATGGGCATTGGAGTCCCACATCGCCTTTATAAGGCCTTGGACACTCCCACCCTTTGAGCAAGCTTTTGGGGCGGTGCATCTCAAAATTCTTATCAAGTGGTATCAGAGCACCCAATATGGATCGCAGATTGGGACCTGGAACTGGAACCTGGGTGTTGGACCCTTGGACTTGGAACCTTGGGCTTGGGCTTGGGCTTGGGCTTAGGCTGCGAAACGTGGTGGAATGTTATGGCCCATTTGCAATGTATGGGCATTGGAGTCCCACATTGGTTGCATGGGTGACTAATGCGGTCTTTATAAGGCCTTGGGTACTCTCATCCTTTGAGCTAGCTTTTGGGGTGGTGCACCTCAAGGTTCTTATCAGAAATCTGAACATTTGTTGTCCGAATCATCAAATAATCAGTTAGGTGTCGAAGATAGACCTCAAATGTGTTTATTCTTAATTGCCTACTTGTCTTCTATTGATTTTCATTTGGTCATTAGTGAAATTAACATTTCCCTGTCTACTGAATATTGTCATGTATCAGATATTAGTTTATTAACAGTTTAATGCTCTGTGTGGGTCAGGGATCCAAGACTCAGAAATGGAAGCTTATTGTCAGAAATCTTCCTTTCAAGGTTTGATGCTTAGTTACAAAATGTGAAATAGTGTATTGTTTGGAAACCTTGATTTCTGACTAGTTGGTGAAATATTTCTGCAGGCCAGAGAAAATGAAATAAGAGATATGTTTTCATCTGCAGGGTATGTGTGGGATGTATTTATTCCACACAAGTCAGACACAGGGTATATTCTCTTTTTTCCTGACTTAAAGTGTTTCAATATAGTAGTATATATAATATTTTGTTAAGCTGCCTTTTTTTTTCCTCGTTTCCTATTTGCAGATTGTCTAAGGGTTTTGCATTTGTAAAATTCACCTGCAAGCTTGATGCGGAAAATGTAAGAACTGTAGTCTGTATTTAAGGTTTTACTTACTGTTTGTGTTTTGAAATAACCTGCATATAAGTTTCCTATTTCTGTTTCAGGCCATTCAAAGGCTCAATGGATCAAAGTTTGGGAAACGGCTCATTGCTGTTGACTGGGCTGTTCCAAAAAAGATATTTAGTAGTGATACAAATGATGCTCTTGCTTCAGAGAAAGGTAATTTTTATGTAATGTAGGTTTGGATACTTTTAGTCTAGGTATTCACATAGTAGTCAATAGCGGTGCTATTGCGCCGCAAGCCGCGCCAGTTGCGCTTCGCGGAGCTTCGCCGCAACCATTCTCGCCGCACCGCACCAGATCGCAATAGCGGTCAATCTCGCCGCAACAGTGTCTTTTTATGGTTTTAACCCTAACCCACTCTCGCTTTCTGCCTCTATGTTGTGTGGGAATAGCAACAAAAGTGAGGTGGATTTGAAGGATGTTTATGATGATAGAACTAAAAGTTTGACGTATAATTAGAGCCAATGAAGTTTAGGAGACACTAAAGAAGATGAAGACTAGTAAAATGTTGGGACCCGGTAGTGTCCCAATTGAAGTGTGGAGATGCTATGGGATGTGGCAATAAGTTGGTTAACAAAAAATTTTAATAAGATTCTCCAAACTAATAAGATGTGCCTGAGGAATGGAGGAAGAATATAAACTATTAAAAAGGCCTTCACCCAACGCCTTAAGGTTTTGGGTTGAAGTGGTTCTTTATATGGTATCAGAGCTTCAATGATCATAATAAGGTCACGAGTTCGATCCTCACCGCCCCCACTCTTGGAATTAAATAAGCATAAGGTAAAACCAAAAAAAAAAAATTGGGCCTATGCAATATCCACATTTCAAGCCCAAATGACTCTTACGTGAGGGGGTGTATTAGAGAATAATATAAACCATTAAAAAGGCCTTCACCCATCGCCTCAAGGTTTTGGGTTGAAGTGGTTCTTTACAATTTACAAAAACAAGAGAGATATTAAATTTTTTTTTTAGCTATAAAGGTGTTAAGCCTTTGAGCTATGCTATGAAGTTGTGGAAGAGAGTTATTGAGCATCGCTTTTTGGATTTATGTCGGGAAAATCTACCATGTAGGCTATTTTCTTATTTGACAGTTGATGTAAAGATATTGGGAAAAAAGGTAGGTGTTGTATCAGTGGTTGAAAATATGAGAGAACATAAGTTGAGATGGTTTTGGCATATTGTTCGAAGACTCCTAGATGCTCAACAAAAGTTTGTTATCAACACGACACAAAGAGAGGATGAAGTTGACCGAAACTTACTTAGGGGAAAATAATAAAATAAGACTTCATGGGTTGAGAAATAAATTGGCGGATGGTGTGTCTTAGGACGGAATGGAGGAAAGTTATTAGCAGTGTGGAGAGGTAGACTCATTTTTTCCTTAGTTCCACGTGAATTTTGTGAGTTATTCTTCCCTATATTTATTTATTTATTTATTTATCTTGCTCTCTAATTTAATTTTTCGTCTTATTTATTATTTTTCTCTCTTATGTTTCATTTTAATTTATTTTATTTTTTATTTACTATTATTAATTTTTTATTTTATTTTCTTTTTCCTCAATCTTTTCTTGCTTTTTATTTGGGTTTATCGATCACCAACCCGAACGTGTTTGGTATAAATTGTTGATGTTTAAGTTGATACAAGTTTTTGGATGACATAGAATGACAATGTTAACTGAAATTTTCAAAATTTAACTCTAATGTATTTGGTAACTATGTTGAGGTCAAAGGTCATTGCTTCTTTTTGTAGCGTTTTGAATTTCCCAGGTAGATTATATTTTTTAATGCTTTAGTTGGTTATACTAGGAAAGCTGGCGTAGACATATAGAGAAGTTCCAGCTTATTTCTTGATGGACTACTGATATCTAACATTTGAAGTATTGGGTAATTGTTGAGTTTTGCTATGCATGTTATTTGGTGAGAAGCTGTTTCATTATTGAGTATGCTGGTCTCTTTCTCTATTTTATGCCTTTTTAATTCAGCGTTGCAAATACACTCCATATTAACCTTACTTGAAACTATCTTTAGGACAAGAAAAGTTGGGAGATGAAGATTGTAATACTACTGAGGACGATGTTGAGCATATTGTCAAACAATCTTGTCAAGGAGATGATAGTGACATAGATAATTCTAGTGCCATGGAGGAAGGCGGTGTTCCTTCTGAAGTTAATTTTGATAAGGAAGCAGACATTGCAAGAAAAGTTCTTAAAAGCTTGATTACATCCTCTACCAAAGGAACATCTGTAATTAATAATTCTATGTTGTCCAAAGAAAACAAGGAGCCAAAATCCAATGCAATTGTTAAGGATGCAGATAGTAAAGCATCTTATGAGTCTGAAAAGGTGTCAGGTGTAGAGCGTGAAATTCCCGGCGGAAACAAGTTATCAAATCCTAAGCAAGCAGAAGAAGCTGATTTGCAGAGAACAGTTTTTATAAGTAATCTTCCCTTTGAATGCGATAATGAAGAAGTGAAGCAACGATTTTCTGGATTTGGGGAAGTAGAATACTTTGTTCCTGTTCTCCACCAAGTAACCAAGTATGACCTAAAACATTATTTTCTATGTATTTCACAGAACATTATTCATAATCTGCTTTTACCCAATGCAGGCGACCAAGAGGAACTGGGTTTCTCAAGTTTAAAACCGTAGAAGCAGCTGATGCTGCAATTTCAACTGCCAGTGCTTCTTCTGGGTTGGGTATTTTACTGAAAGGTAGACCATTAAAAGCTTTAAAGGCGTTGGATAAGAAATCAGCTCATGACAAGGAACTGGAGAAAGCAAAAAATGAGGTTCATGACCACCGCAATCTTTACTTGGCAAAGGTTTGTCTACTCCTTTGTACCTCTTGTGTAGCAGGCTGTGGAAGCTGATAAGCAGTAGGACTAACATTTGTATTATGCTAAATTGTTATAGGAGGGACTCATTCTTGAGGGAACTCCAGCTGCTGAAGGGGTTTCAGCAAGCGATATGTTAAAACGGCAAGAGTGAGTATTTTATGGTTTGGAGTGCAAGTGGCGTTATAATCTTAACTCACATCTTCAATATTGGTTATAATTATAGTGTGCTTCCATTGAGTGGCTGCTTTTAAACCCCATCTATCGAATGGTTATAGCTATTGTATGCTGCATTTGAGGGACAATCAAATGGGTTCATGTTTGATTCATTGTGGTCAGTTGTGGTTTTCTTTCTAATTAACCTAATATTGGGATAATCCTTCGTTGGTCGTTGCAGCATTTACCCTCATTTCAACTTTCGGAGAAAAAAGAAAGGATTTGTATTCTTCTTGATTTCCTTTTTTCTTATTTTTTTTCCTCAAGTATTTGTTGAGAAAAATAACGAGAGGACTAGAAAATCCATTGTCTTGAAAAGCTAAGAAAATAAAATGTCAAATAAGGAAATGATTCTTGCACAAACCGTTTTGTGCATACATCCGCAAAGAAAATGAGCCATTGATGTGAGGGAAAAAGTTAAGAGAGAAAAACGTTTATGGTTTTAATAAAATGCCCATTAGGTCCGTGAGATATTTTTCTTAAGTATCATGTTTCTAATTAGGGGTGATAAACGAACAAGGGGCCTTTGACTCGGCTCGTGAATGCCTGAGCTTATATGTCTAAAATTGGTTGTTGGAACCAGGCTTGAACTTGTATACAAGCTCGTTTAATAAAAAGGCCTCAAGCTTCAATTTAAAAGCTCGGCCTTAGAGCCTTTCAGGCTGGCCTAGTATATTAATTTTTATTTTTATTTATATTTTTTATACTACTTGTAATAGTCCTCTCTCTCTCAATCCATTCTACCCCATTTTATTGGTTAAACTGACTTTTTGAATGATTTTGTTCTATATTATGCTGTTTGATATACATTAAATTTATGAATATTTATGGAATTACTAGTGCTGTTGATTGTACATTCTGTTTGGATAAATTTTTATTGTCTTATTTTTTTAAAACAGACTAAATCAGGCTTTCATTTTTTTGTAAATAAGTCAGGCCATAGGCTGATAATTTATATTCATAATAGTTAATAGGCTTGATCAGGCTGACACATTTAAATACAAGCTTAGCCTTTTAAGACTAAAGCTCGGCTTGGCCCGTTAACACCCTTGTTTCTAATATACTATTCTGATTTCCTTATTTTATGTTGCTTTTGATCTTCCATATGTGGTGGTAAAGATGTTATCTTGCTGCTTCAGTTTTGTGTAATACTTGTGCTGGGATTAGTGCTCTTACACTATTTGGGGGAAATTCATAGGTTAGAAAGAAAAAAGAAGACAAAGCTGCAATCTCCAAATTTTCATATTTCAAGAACTAGACTTGTTATCTACAACTTACCAAAGTCAATGACTGAAAAAGAACTCAAGAAGCTTTGCATTGATGCAGTCATCTCTAGAGCTACCAAGCAAAACCCTGTAATTCGGCAGGTTGGTTAAGTTGGTCATGACTTGAAGTTATCAATTATTGTTTCTGTAAAGTTTTAGGAATATCATTTCAATGCTATACATGTACTGTGCAGATAAAGTTTTTGAAAGATGGAAAGAATGGAAAGGTTGTTCAAAAACATTATTCACGTGGAGTTGCCTTTCTTGAATTTTCTGAGCATCAGCATGCCCTTGTGGCTCTGAGAGTTCTTAACAATAATCCTGGTAACATCCATTTCTTATTGACATGTATTCTGTGCCCTTTTTTCTGTTTTATCTAATGTTGTTTTTCATTGACATGTAGAAACTTTTGGTCCTGAACAACGGCCAATCGTGGAGTTTGCTCTTGATAATGTTCAAACCCTGAAACTTAGGAAGGCAAAGCTACATTCTCAGCAGCGGGTTCCTTATGATGACAACGATGCCAAGGAAAATAACAAACCCGGCTTAGTAGAAGTTCATGTAAAGGACAGAAAAAGAAAATACCAAGATCATGACAAACCAACAAAGGACCAAGTACTGAATTCAAATGGTGAATTTGGTGCTACAATGGCAAAGGGAAAATCCCCTCAAGGATCCAAAAGACAAAAAGGCAACCATAAGAGAACAAGCTCTGAAGTGCCATCACTGAAAGAAAATCCAGAAGCTTTGTCCATGAAGTCAAAGAATAACCATGATGGCAAGAATCATGGCAGGACATCACTTGAAGGTCAAAGCACTTCCATTGACACTAATAAAAGAAAATCAGGAAACAAAGATCATGTTGGATTTAGAAAAAGGAAGATGCAAAACCAAGAAGAACAAGCAGGTCAAAAGGTTTCTCAGAAACGGCCTAAGAAGAATAAAGATTCAATAGGGAAAGACGTAGTAGATAAGCTTGACATGCTTATAGAACAATATAGATCCAAGTTCTCACAGAAGGGTTCCCAAGGGAATGATGGAGAGAAGAAACCTTCTAAACAGCTTAGAAAATGGTTCCAATCATAGTTAACTATTTGTATGATATGAATTTTGTCACTTATGTTAGCTTTTTCCTACCTCGGTTAAGTTGAAGCTTTGTAACTTTAGTTGCACATTGCCATGGGCTGGCTTTTTTTGTTCTTTGTTTTTTTTTTCTCAATTATTCAAAATTAACAAAACGTTTGACATTTTCCTCTTAGTTTGCTATTTGTTTGAGGAATGCTTGGATATAAATGTGTCCAAAATATACAAATTATTAAGGAAAATTATACTTTCATGTTTTATAAGATTCATCTTTTATGTTACATTATTCTTCGGATCCACTAAGTTTGGATTCAAAAGAAATAAAAAATAAATCCAAACGAACTATAGAACATGTAGTTCAAAGTGAATATTTAAAATCTATGTACTTTACATCACATCTTAAAGGGCTGCACGAGGTCAAGTGTTACCACTGGAAGCATCTTCATTGGGTTCCCCAACTGTTACATGGAGACGTGTCTTGATTGGGAAAAAAAATTAATATACTACTATAGCATCTACATTCTACTAATAGGAGCATAACAAATAGCTGATATGTTTTCTGAAGAGGATTCCCTATGCATAAACAAAGTAAAGAAGAGACATGATTTGAGATTTTGTATACTGAGGGATATAAATTATTTTGACACTGCACCATGTAATTTTATACAGTTAAACAATAAGGGGCATGTTTCTAAATTAGTAGTTATTGGTTGAATGTACAGTGCAAAATCTTTTTTTTACCTAATGGTCTACTCCTTAGCTTTTGTTAATTCTTACTTAGACTCTCTTACTCTCTAAAAATCGTATGTAGTTTGAGTATGAAGTTGAATCACTCTAGTGGATGCTTCTTGAAGTGTTATCTAGCCTCTCTTGTTTGTCGGCTTCCCCCATCAAGTAGAATATATATATTTTTCATATTCTGTTCTTTTATTTTTTTTCAACATAGGATAATATCTATAAAAAGCATGCGCGCGCACACTCACATGTATATATATATATATATATATATATATATATATATATATATATATATATATATATATTAATTAAAATTTTAATTAAAACTATTTATTATATTAATTGTCTGTGTCAAATCTTGTAAAATATAAATAATGATAAGAATACAATTAAATGATTCTTATTTGTATATATTTTAAAAATATATATCAGTTAAATTTGATATATATATTAATAAAATAATAAATAGTTTTAGACTAATTAATGCAATATTTTATAAATATGTTTACCGGAAAAAAATATTTTATAAATATAATTTATATAATAGAAACTTTTAATCCAACAGTGAATCTTAAAATAAAATTACTCAATAAAAAATAATTGAATGAAGTAAAACAGATTTAGAAAACTATAATTATAGTTTTCGATAGAAATTTTTAGCTATGTTGTCTAAGGTAAATTATAGTTTTCTATCTTTACCCAAAAAAAAATTATAGTTTTAAAATAGCTTGTAGCTTTATTTTTAAAGTCTATTTTTAACTTTAGTTTAAAAGTAGCTTTTAACTTAAACAAAGGTGCCAAATAGAGCTAAAAGTTTCTATTGAATGATATAACTTTTATATATATATATATATATTACCTATTTTTTAAGTTAAAAGATAATTTTAAATTAAAGCTAAAAAATAGCTTTAAAAATAAAACTACAAGTTGTTAAATGATTATATAAATTTTTTAGTTTAAAAGCTGTTCATTTCAAAAAAAAAAAAAACTGATACAACTAAAAAAAATTCATTAAAAGATTATAGATTTCAATAGAAACTTTTAGCTCTATTTGGTACCTTTTTTTTTTAAACTAAAGCTAAAAAAAGAATTTTAAAATAAAGTTACAAGTTGTTTGATGATTGTATAAAATTTTAGCTTAAAAATTATTAATTTCAAAAAAAAACTCACATTTCAAAAAAAAGCTGATACAACTAAAAAAATATTCCTCGTAGAAACTTTTGGCTTTTGATATTTTTTTATTATAAAAAAAATCTCTTTAAAAAAAAATCTCTTTTTATTGTAAGAGCTTTTATAAAAGTCTGTTTGGCCAAGTTTTTACTTATAAAGAGAAAAAAAGCTAAAAAAAAAAACAACCTCCCAATCAAACAAGTAAGTAAATTGTAGTTTTCTATTTTACCTTATTAGAGATAAGTTTCGAAATGTTTCAAATGTTTTGTTTGAGAATTTATCCCGATTCTTTTGAAAAAGGAGGATGTGTTTGTTTGTCTCTAAATATGAGATGGAGATGCTCCCTAATTTCTGTTATAATTTTTTATATAAGAAAGCTAGAATATCACATTAAAAAAATTAAAAATAAAACAAACATTCAAAATTTAATGGGAACTAATGTTCAAATCCTGCATTAGGGAGAAGGAGAAAATTCCTCTTGTTGCACTATAATATCATTAATATTTTAGAGAATGAATTTCATACTGCTCAAGATGTTTTTGCCTTCTTCAACATAAGTTTGGAGTATTTTTTTTTTGAGTAACTATATTTTTCGGTCCTCAGTAAATTTTATGATACCCACTTTAGTCCCTAACAAATAAAAAAGCTATTTATGGTCTCTAAGAAATTTAAAGTAAACTCATTTTAATCCTTTTTAGAGACTAATATATATGGGTCTTTTTTGAATTTGTGAGAGACCACGATTTTAACTAAATAAATTCATTTTGAATTTCTTAAAGACCACAAATAACCTTTTTATTTGCTAAGGACTAAAGCAGGCATAGTAAAATTTACTGAGGACCAAAAAGAGTATTTATTCTTTCTTTTTTTCAATGATATAATTAATTCTTCTTTTGGTTCAAACAGCTAAATTCAGATATTAATAATGTGATTGAACTTCAAAATTAGAGCTACATACGAACTAGAGAGACTAAGAGAGTCTAAGTAAGAATAAGCAAAAGCAAAGGAATAGAGCATTATACATTCAACCAATAACTACTAAATTAGAAACATTTCCCTTATTCTTTAATTGTATAAAATTACATGGTGCAGTATCAATAAAATATACCCCTCAAATTTGGTATACAAAATCTCAAATCATGTCTCACAAAGAATACTTTTTCCTCCGGGCAAGATACATGAATATACTTTCTAAAGATGATTTGTCCGTTTGCTCTGAGGTTATGGATGATTAATTGATTAACTTCATTGATACAAAGTCCCTTGTAGCAAAAATAAAAAAATAATAGTACAAAGGATACAAAAGAAAGATGAAAAAATCAAAAGGAAAATAATGTAAAGAATGCCATCTTCACAAGCCCTCAACTATATGCTCTAAACTTCTATTGCTATATATTCTTATTTTGATCTGTTCTTTCTCTCTTCCAAACAATTACTACGCCATAAAAATCGGATGAAGCCAAAAAGTTCTCTCCATGGTTCCAAGCAATATCCATTACTGGAAACCGATGACCCTGCATAATAAAAATTCTAATCACTTTGAGCTTCATTGTGACATTAATACCTTCAATGGAAATAATACTAACCTGTAGCTTATTTACACATGTATGCTTTGGCCGTGTTAAATCATAGAAATAGACATTTGAATCCTCACTTCCAGCAACTTCACATGACAACAGAGGATGTTAGAAAGACAGCAACTGTGATATCGCTGTAGTCAAAGATATTTCAGAAAACTTAATTTGCAAGCAATATATGTTGAAAATCTTTTATTCATTTAAGGAAGGCAGTATATAATTCTTGAGTTTTGACTGCATACACATAAACCAAAAAATTATTTTCCAGTTTGACAGAGCAACGTTTGGGTGTAATTTGTAGCAGCAGCATTATTAAAATTAGGAAGACCTTCAACAGACAGAGTAGAGGGAGAGAAAAAAAAAAGAAAAAAAGAAAAAAAGAAGCAATCAACAATGATATCAACATACCTATGAATTCTCCTTTCTCAAGGGAAAGAAGAGGGCAGAAAGAAGCTTGAATTTTGTGTATACGCGGAGCTAATTTGAGCGAGCATCGAAGAGTTAAATAACCTTTTATCTCCAAAGCCACACTATAATATACCAACATTAGTGCTCCAAAGAAAAATAAGCAGAGTTCAAAGAAGACAACTGAAAGCAATTATAGATTAATGGCAAATATTTTCAAACCTGAAGAAAGACAGATTTCCATCTTGCGTACATGTCAACAATACAGGTCCTCGAGCCAGTAGAGAGAAACTCCGATACTGCACTGTTGTAACAGGAGATTTGTGCCTGCTGCTACTTCGATGACGATGAGCGCGGGATAATACACCTGTGTAGGAGTTCATATTTACTGAGTATATACATCCCTGCACGTAGAACCCAGTAAGCAAAAAGAAATTGAGATAAACCTAATAATTAGGATGTATATGTCCATGTATAGAGCAGCACACCTGTGCATCTCCACAAAATATGAGATGTCCTGTATGATCATGGTCCATAGAGGTAACTTCACTGTCAAATACTGATTTATTAATTATCCTTCCAGTGCTAAAATTGAACACCTGGTAAATCATACAGATTTTAAGAAAAATCAATTGAAATAATAAGTCACCATGATAAGTAATGTAAGAAAGAAATAGCAAAACATAATAGAATAGGATTTTATAGGGGAAAAGGGTAGAGGTAATAGCATAGACACTAAGCCACTAATAGTTAAATGGTGGGAATATTTATCATATCATAAATGGAAGTACATGTTGCATGAATTCAGCTGACTGTCATTGTCACTCTTTTTCCACAGTCCGAACAAACACAATTTTCCTCGTCACTGATTTGGAGCTTTACTTAATTAACAGCCCAATCTTATGATCTAAGTATCTGTTCGGAGAAGGGAATAATTTTCCTTTTTTGGGAGTTCAAAAATTTGTGGAGGGGAAGGGAATGTCTGGGGAGCCATTCCCCCTCAAACTATGACTTTTTGTTCCCTACAAATTGGGGGATAAAGAGTATTTTATAAATTTATCATTTACTATTTTACCCCCATAAATTGAGTTACTTAAAAAAGTTAAGGGTTATATAGAAATTCTATAGTGAACCACTTATAACCCACATTACCTTCCCATTTCTACCCTTATTAATCATCCAAACATATATTCTTTTCCATTCCGTCTCATTCTCTCCAAAAACTTCCAAACATAACCGTAGTGCCAAACCACAAATAATAAACTGTTTTTCATACTTTATAAAGAAAGAATACCAGCACTTCAATGACATTTCAGGTCTTAGTGATTAAGAATGGAAATGACTAAGATAAACAGATTCCAATAAAAAGGTTTCACCAAAGAAGCTGTCAAAAATATTACTTCCTTCCCAATTATAAAACAAGATAGAAATAGGAAACATATTTACATTGATTTCTTTATTTGCATTGCCAACTGAGAGGAAGTTGTTATTTACCTGCATCAAATACAGAAAAAAAAATTCAGTCTCCAGTAGCAACCAAAATACCAATATAAAATATCAAAATCCATATAAGGAATTAAATACATACAGGTGTAGGAAATCATATCTTCGGAAAAATCAAACAAGTTACGGATGAATATTTAAGTTTCATTAGGTGAGATGGAGAAGGAAATATTCTGCAAATTGTTAGCGTATCACCATATTTCCCAGCTGATAAATTCCCCTCCCTCCTCTCCTCCTCCTCTCATGCTTTCCCTCTCTCTTTGACCCCAATGAATGACTCTGTCCTTCCCCAAACTATGAGAGATTCAAAACCACCACCCTTAAAAATTCTAGTCATCCTTAATCTACAAAGTTCAATTTTATCACCTGTCTTTTAGTGTAGAAAATGATGATTTGAATTTGACAAGATAGACAGAAGAGAGTGAGAATCTGGTAAATTGGAACACACATAGTGTGAGAGATACAGAGGGCAGAGAACGTTAGTTTTGTTATAATTAAAATTTTCAAATCTAAGAAAAGAGTACTTTTTCCAACTATGATAGATGACAATGCTACCCTTCAAATAGAGATGAGAAACACACACACACACACAATACATTATACTCACAGGGTGAAAACGGATGCACAATTGTGAAGAAACTCCATATATCACCCGTATGCAAATTCCTTTTGCTATCTCCCATACTATAACAGTTTTATCCAATGAAGACGATGCAATGTACTGATTGTTTGATGAAAAATCAAAATCTGAAAATAAACCAGCACAAAAAGAAAACATTGATGTAAAGGAATAGAATAAAAAGGTCGACATTAACAACAGGGACAATAACCTAGTGGATATAAAAATACCGCAAATTGCACATTAAAAGCTATGTAACCATGGACTATGCTCAAAATTGCATAGCCCACTACAGGTTAACTGTTTGATGTGTCAACATAGATTTATATTTGTCAAACTTCTAAATGCCTAAAGTCATAATTGACACAATTTAGTTTCAGGTTTTAAACAGGATGAAAACACCTCAGTAATAGGGGAAAAGGAGGGAAAGAACAAGTCCAAGCAATCAATTTTCAATGCTGATTAAGCCCGATATTGTGTCTTAGTAATAAAAATTAGGGAGAATTATAATTTAGGAAATCTTGGAAAGTATAATTCCAATTTAGGAACAAGTAACAAATTCAGAAAGAGTGTTTGCTCAATGGCTGACCACTTTTCCTGAAATTTGGATAATGCATACCAATATTTATTGATGCATAATCCCCCCTTAGAAATAATACATTAGATGATATAGCCTTAGAGCACTCATGACCATATATGTCATGGAAGGCTAAATAAAGACCAAACAAACAGTTAAATGTAAAAGAATACGTTGTGTATTGATCTGTGTCAGGGAGTTACAATATATAGAGACCCTAATGGGCTTAAGTGTAAGGCCCAAACCTAATCCAAACCTAATCCTAATACAGTCAGAATACAGTCAGACTATTTACGGATAAGACAGAATCCAATCATATCTAATCAAATCTAATCATATCATATCTAATATTCTAACACTCCCCCTCAAGCTGGTGCGTATATATTATGAGCACCAAGCTTGTTACAAATGTATTCAACCCGAGGACCTCTAAGAGCTTTAGTGAAAACATCTGCTAGTTGATTAGACGAGTTGACAAAAGCTGTCTTGATTTCTCCTGACTGAATCTTTTCCCGAATGAAGTGACAATCAATCTCTATATGTTTGGTCCTCTAATGAAAAACAGGATTAGAGGATATATGTAGCGCAGCTTGATTATCACAGATGAGTGTCATGGGTTGTTTCTGTTCACAAAGATGAAGCTCCTGAATCAACTGCTTTAACCAGATCAACTCACAGGTAGTATTTGCCATTGCACGATACTCAGCTTCTGCACTAGATCGGGAAACAACAGGTTGTTTCTTGCTTTTCCATGAGATTAAATTTCCTCCGAAGAAGACACAATAACCAGAAGTAGAGCGTCTGTCCGAGGGTGATCCTGCCCAATCGGCATCTGAGTAACCACAAATTTCTGTATTTCCCTGATCCGAATACAACAAACCTTTTCCTGGTGCTCCTTTGATGTATCGGAGGATCCTCACAGCAGCATCCCAATGTGAATCACAAGGGGAATCAAGGAACTGACTGACCGTACTGACAGCGAAAGAAATATCTGGCCTAGTCACAGTAAGATAATTGAGCTTCCCAATCAGCCTTCGATAACGTCCAGGATCAGATAACGGCTCCCCCTGTCTGGGCAATAACTTAACATTAGGATCCATGGGTGTATCAACTGGTTTACACCCCAACATACCAGTCTCCTCTAGGATATCCAAGGCATACTTCCTTTGACAGATAGAAATGCCCTGTCTAGATTGCGCCACCTTAATTCCCAAGAAGTAACGCAGCTTCCCAAGGTCCTTTGTTTGAAATGCACTGAATAAATGTTGTTTTAACTGATGGATTCCGTCTTGATCACTTCCGGTGAGGATGATGTCATCAACATAGACTAACAAATAGATGCACTTGTTAGGAGATGTAATCCTATAGAATACAGAATGGTCAACTTTACTGCGAATTAGGCCAAACGCCTGTACAGCAGAACTGAAGCGACTGAACCATGCTCGAGGAGACTGCTTGAGACCATATAAGGATTTTCGAAGACGACATACCTTCCCAGACTCCCCCTGAGCAACAAAACCAGGTGGTTGCTCCATGTAAACTTCTTCTTGTAAATCACCATGAAGAAAGGCATTTTTGATGTCAAGTTGAAGGAGTGGCCAGTGACGAACAGCAGCAAGGGCAAGAAATAGGCGGACGGACGCCATCTTAGCGACTGGAGAGAATGTATCGCTATAATCAAGGCCAAAGATTTGAGTAAAACCCTTGGCAACTAGGCGTGCCTTGAGACGATCAACATGGCCATCAGGTCCAACTTTCACAGTAAACACCCAGCGACAACCAACTATAGACTTCTCTGGAGGAGCAGAAACAAGGTCCCAAGTGCCATTGGTATAAAGTGCGATCATCTCATCAAGCATCGCTTGGCGCCATCCTGGATGGGAAAGTGCTTCACCTGTGGTCTTAGGAATAGAAACAGAAGAAAGACTAGAAACAAAGGTGAAATGAGGAGGAGAAAGGCGATCATAGCTCAAGAAGGTATAAAGAGGATAAGGATTACGAGTAGTACGTGTACCTTTTCTTTGAGCAATGGGAAAAGCCTCTGGTGAAGGATCCGGAGGGGAAGAATCAACTGCAGAGGGCAATGAGTCAGCAGGGGTCGAGTCGACTGGAGGTACTGTCTTACGACGCTGATAAGTGAGAAGAGGACGGTCCTTAGGTACTGGAGCAATAGGTGATTGCTTATCTGGAGTAGAAGCACCTGCATCTGGCAAAGACAAGTCAAGAAAAGGAACAGGAAGAACATGATCAACCTGTGACAATGGAGATGGGATAGAATTAAAGGGTTGTTGATCAAAAAAGGGGACATCCACGGAAACTAAGTAACGCTTGAGGTCAGGAGAGTAACAGCGATAACCCTTTTGAAAACGAGAATAACCAAGAAAAATGCGTTTAAAGGCTTTGGATGTTAACTTATCCTTACCAGGAGTGAGATCATGAACAAAGAAGGTACAACCAAAAACATGTGGGGATAGAGGAAAGAGAGGAACATCTGGAAACAATAAGTTATGAGGAATATCATTATTAAGCACAGATGAAGGCATGCGGTTGATGAGAAAGCAAGAAGCAAGGACTGCATCAGCCCAGAAGTGAAGAGGAACATGCATGTGAATAAGAAGAGTCCTGGCAATCTCAATGAGATGTCTATTCTTACGTTCAGCTACTCCATTTTGTTGTGGAGTGTGAGGACAAGTGGTTTGGTGTAAAGTACCCTGTGTGGCTAAGAAGTGAGAAAAGTCAACAGAAACATACTCCTTAGCATTATCACTACGTAAAATACGAATAGAAGCACCAAATTGAGTATGAATTTCAGCAGAAAACTTTTGATAAATAGAAAACAACTCAGAACGGTTTTTCATTAAATAAATCCAAGTACAACGGGAGAAATCATCAATAAAGGTGACAAAATACCGAAAACCTAAAATAGACACACTACGACTAGGACCCCAAACATCTGAATGAATAATTGAAAAAGGAGCATCAGCTCGTTTATTGACTCGATTAGCAAAGGAGGAGCGTATGTGCTTTCCTGGCTGACATGACTGACAATCTAAAGTTTGAAGACCGGATAAAAGAGGAACCATCTTCTGCAATTTCGCAAGACTAGGATGCCCGAGACGACTGTGGATGAGCTGTGGAGATTCTGTGAGAGAACAAGCAACTGAAGGACTCGGCACATCAAGGTAGAACAGACCCCGTGACTCACGGCCCACTCCAATCATCTTCCCCGTACACGGGTCCTGCACAGAAACAGAATGGTTTGAGAATGTGACAATACAATTAAGAGAATTGATCAATTTACTAACCGATATTAAATTATAAGGGATGTGAGGAATGTAATAGACAGATGTCAAGGTCAATGAGGAGGTTGGACAGATTTGTCCAATCCCATGAACGGGGGCCTTAGTTCCATCAGCAAGAGTAAAAGAGGGGAAATTATTAGAATATGTAAGGGAAGAAAAGAGTTCCTTATTACCACAGAGGTGATCAGTAGCACCTGAGTCAAATATCCAAGGACCAAGTGATGCAGAATGAGAAACACAAGCAACAGGATTACCAGTTTCTGAAGCAGAGGCCTGAGATTGAGGAGAGGACTTCCTGAGAAGGGCCTGGAATGCTGCATATTCTTCAGAGGAGAGAGAGACTGAACCATTTGAAGCAGTATCCGATTGAGCTACATTAGCAGCAAAAGAAGGTCGCATGTGAGGATACTTGGTGTAGCAGCGTTCCTCATAATGACCAAGTTGCTGACATTAATGACAACGAGGTCGCTGACCACGTCCGACTGGACCTCCTAGGCCTCCTGGGCCACGACCTCCTGGGCTACGTCCTCCTGGGCCCCGGCCTCCTAGGCCTCTACCACGACCACGTCCACCTCCAATATGCCCGCGAAAATCAGTACGGGAAACTAGAGCAGTAGAATCAACAGCAGAAGACGATGCAGGAGCAGATTTCTTATTCAAATTCAGAAGACGCTGATACGTCATGGATAGATCAGGCTCCCCACTAGTCAAGATAGTATCACGAACATTATCATATTCTTCGGGAAGGCCAGAAAGTGTGGCAACCATAAAGAGACGTTCCACCTGTTTCCGATATGCAGTAGCATCAGTAGGGTAAGGCAGCATATCCAAATATGCCTGCATCAAAGAGCGACTCTTGCCAATATATGTCTCCATCTGAATGTCGGATGATTTGCTCAATTCCATAAACTGAGAGATGATGAAATAGAGCTGCTGAACATCATTAGTGTAGAGGTTTTTTGCTTCCTCCCACACTTCAGTGCAAGTTTGAAATGAATAAAAGATATCCAAGACAATCGGATCAATGGATTGCCAGAGGATACTCAGAAGCTGGTTGTCAATCTTTTCCCAATCAGACTTGTCCTCCTTAGGGACATCAGTAGACTTAGTTGTGAGATGGTTCCCATATCCTTGTCCAAATAACCAAACTCGAACAGAGGTGGCCCAGTTCTTGTAATTAACAGATCCCTTCAATTTTGAAGAGGTAATGGACCCAATATTGGTAGAGATGATATTGGGAGAATTTCTCAAAGGAGGAGATGGAGACTTGACCTCCGAATGAATTGGAGGGTTTGCTGCCATAGTATCAAATCACAAAGATACAAACCGAATAAAGAGAAACGAACCTGATCACCAATCAAGAAGAGGTGCGCACAAAAAGTCAGACCCACAAAGAACCAACCACAGATCCAGAAAGAGGAGGAGAAGACGAGCTTCTCTGTCCAAGACCGGCCGGAAAAAGCCGCCGGAATAGTGCTCACGCGCCGGCAGAAGGTGGCGCGTGAAGCCCACGCGCAGAGAAGACTGGAGGCGCGTGAGAGCGCGTGACAACTCCGATGGTGGCCGGACTTCCACAGAGCAGGTCGCCGGGAGGAGAGGGTTCTGTTCGCGTTCGTTCCAGACTGAAAACTCGCCGGAAAAGTACTCCGGCAGCCTGAACAGTGGCTGACGGTGGCTGATGGTGCTCCGGTGACTGTTTGGGGATGTGGACACGTGCAGAAGATGCCTGGAGAGGACTTACAGCCTTTGATGTCTTACCGGAAGGACGCACGGCAAAGAAAAGATGACTCCTAAGCAGTGGGCTTAGGTTTTAAAGCGAAGAACAAGATTTCTAAGCGGAAGCGAGGGTTCCCAGAACGAAATAACTCTGGTACCAAGTTAAATGTAAAAGAATACGTTGTGTATTGATCTGTGTCAGGGAGTTACAATATATAGAGACCCTAATGGGCTTAAGTGTAAGGCCCAAACCTAATCCAAACCTAATCCTAATACAGTCAGAATACAGTCAGACTATTTACGGATAAGACAGAATCCAATCATATCTAATCAAATCTAATCATATCATATCTAATATTCTAACACAAACAATGTCATTCTATCCAACCTGTGACATCTTTGGAATGCCCATTTAACTGTTTGAGGACTGAAGGTTTCTCAGAAACACTGCACACAGTCAAGGTTCCATCTGATGCCCCATAAGCAAGTAGATCAGAACTCATGTGCCCAAACTTTAACACCGTAACTACACAAAAAAGATTTTCAGGATTATTCCAACAAGAAAACCAAGTAGAACAGAGATTAGTTACTAAGATAATGGAAAGACAAATTTAGATTGGACTCTAGATACTACCAGAGGCTTTGCACTGATCAAAGATGCAATGCATTCCTACAAAAGAATAGGCAGGCTCAACCCCACGATGCCGTGGACGATCAGAATCACTTGCAGTTGAGCCAAAACTTGTTCTATGATTAAATACTCGATTTGCACTTTGCACATCCTACAAAGCAAATAAATACACAATTTTGAAACATGCATATGAGCAAAATTGTGCAAACCTGCACCAATTTCAAAAACAATTAAACAAAACTCCAAATTATCATGGCATAGCCACATTCCTCAACATTATAAACACACTAAGTAAAATTGCAACTATCTTGTTATATATATGGTCATTCTATTGCAATAGTGTAGTTTCATGTATTATTCTAAACATATAAGTGTGTTCCATGTTTCAAAAATCGAGAAAAGTTAAGTGTATTTACTCTGAATAAAACTTCAACCTTTACAAATGTAATTTCAGCAAGAGAAGCATTGAACACAACTTACTAATATAAAAAGTTATATCCAAATCTACATAGCAAATATACATTTAGTTCCCAGTCAATTATTAGGGAAGGCATATCAATGTGTTGAGATAAAACCATTAATGTAGCCTCACCCAACAACTTAAGCTTTTGGATGAGGCTACATTAATGATTTTTTATATTATCTCAACACGCCCCCTCACACGAGAGCCCACTAGGCTTGAAAGGTGGACGATGCACAGGCCCACCTACCTGTGCGAAGAAAGAAATTATTTTAGTTTAGTTTTATGAAGAAATTCTCTGATTCTTCATAAAAGTTCTTCCTCTTTATCAAATTCCTTAGCTTAGTTTTATTTTTTTGGAAAGCCATCTTATTCCTTGATTTACTATTTTGGTGATTTAATTTATTCCCTTTTCTCCGCAAGATTTTAAATTGGTGAACTTATGTTCACTCTTAATTTATGAAGAAAATGTTAAGTCCCAATTCTAACAGGTAAGTTTAAGCCAAATTTTTCTAGTACATCTTTCCTAATATAAAAACCAAAAAATCACTCCCCATTAAATCTCGACTAGCGAGAGTGAGGAAAGGGAAATCGTTTTATGCAATCTTAACCTTGTATTTTTGCAAAGAGGCTGTTTTCTGAATTCGAAGTTGTGGCATTTCACTCACAAAGGAGTAACTTTACCGCTACTCGCTCCCCCCTTTATAACCTCCTTAATATATCTAACTCATCTACTGAATGCTTTGTTTATTTCTTCTGCAATCATTTCCTTCCTAAAAGCAAAAATAACTAAATAAGCCCAAGAATCCAACATGCCCAGATGTCCTGCCAAAGCACAATCTGCACTTCCTTGATGACAGCAACCTCAAACTCACCAAAGCACATACCGCCTCAGACCAAGGTTATTCCCACTTAAATTGAATGGCTGGTCTCCCTATCAGTTATAACGGTACACTTTGATAGTTACCTATGTACTTGGTTTAAAAAGCATAAATCCCATCAACAGAATCTGTAAATCTATTAATTATTTTACTGTATACAAGATCTCTCTATCCCAATTACTGCTTACGATTGATTAGTGCATTGCTATGTGTCACATACTGCAAGAGGAATGTTAAAGTATATTACAAGAAAATCTATATGGAACTACTTACCCGCCCAGAACCCCAGCTGTCCACCTCAGACCAACGGGAGAGTGGACTTGGAGGTGCAATCCATCGGCCACTGATGCATCAACCAGTAAATTATCCTGATGTCAGAATTGTATGGAAGCATAAATTTAAACTAGCACCATAAATGAGAAAGCTGTATCGTCATGTTATAGTTACAAACAGTAAAGCTGAAACCAAAGATATAAGATATAACCACAAGGAAGCACATGAAATTCACATTGAAGTACAAAATGATTGCAAGTCATTTTGATATAAAAAGATTTTATTAGAAGGAAGCAAAGTACAACATTGGAGAATATGATATCCTCCTAAATTAACCTAAAATATAACAGAAAAAAAAACTAGAGAAGAAAATTACATTAGCTCAAACGGGCTTCCTGATCTCTTAGTAAAAAAGTCAAAGAAATTCTCAGTTAGCCATAAATCATAATCATCTTGTAAATTTGTTTGAGACAGAATAATCATAATTTGGTTAAATCTTATATGAAAAAAAAAAAGTGCATTTAAATGCATATGAAAATCTGTCTTCCAAAATTTTCCTCCTGATCAATGTTTAATCAACGTCTAACTACATATCTAGAGTACTATGAAGCTCCATGTACAATCATGGGCATCTTTGATTTGTTATTTTATCCCCTTTCAATAAGTGAGTGACCATCATCGAATCGTGTGATGCAAGACTACACATATATTTTCTCATCACTTCAAGTAAAAAATTCAGCAACCTGTTTCCTGGAGTACTTTGGAGGCTTGGGACACGAGAACTTTCCCAGTCCCTAGGCCTACATATGTAATTCCGGTAAGCCACGTAAGTTTTTCCATTGCATCTCCAATCCTTCAACACAAACACTGGGAATGTCAAAAAGCGTAGACAGGGCAAAAAAGTAACAACACATAGCCAAAGGAAACAAGATTATTAAAAAGAAAAAAGCAAATCCAGCAGTCAACGTAACTAAATATTGTTTACTACGATTAATCTCAAAAGGATGCCATGGAAACAAAAATAAGAAGAAAAATCGAATATTAAAAACAAAATGATAACAGTTCCAAGAGAATTTAGCTACGAGCATTGTAAAAACACGCGAATGAACAAACTTATGATCCAAAAAGTCAAAAAGTAACATAGAGCCAAAGAAAAAAATAAAACAATGCAAATCCAGGACGATTGATATTGAGAAGAAACTCCAAAGAAACAAAACTAAGAAGAAGAAGATTAAATAAAAAAATTTCATAGGAAAGAGATCAACACAGTAACTACAAAGAGAATCTAGCTAGGAGCGCTGTATCAATCTCAATTTTCAAATTCTGATTACAAAATCCCTAAACATATAGATAACAGCGCATGTTTTATATGGAGCGTACTTTACGGCGGAGAACTCCGGCCTCAGCCTTCCGGTGAAGGAGTAGACGGCGAATGCCGATGTACTTGGGATCGCCGTCGGTGGTGGCGGGCTGCAGCAAACAGCAGAACAGCTCCGGATCTGAACTCTTCTCGGTATTGTTGTCATTATTGTTGTTGTTGTTGTTGTGGTGGTGGTGGTGTTCCTTCTCTTCCGGTTCTGGTTCGCCGTCGTTCACGGCGGCGCTCCTGTTCTCCGCCATCGTATCCTATGAATCGATCATCGGAGAGCGGTGGCCGAGCCCGATTCTCCGGCGAACTTTGGCGACAGTCGATGCCTGAGGTTCGATTCGAATATGAGAGAGAGAAAGAGCTCGAACTTAAATGGAGACCTCACCAACCGGTGATCGGTGGAGAAATCGGGGAATATAATAATAAATAATAATTACAAATTGAAAAAGAAAACTGAAAATACGAATTTCTATATGTTTTCCTCTCTTTTTTCTGCTTCAGGCTCCAGAGTCCAGAGAGTATCGTATTACTTCTAATATTAAATTATAATTTAGAAAAATAGTATAATTTTTATTATAATATATTCCTCTTTTATTATTTTGTTGGGTAATAGTAGATTAAGAAAATGACAATACCAGTTTTTTTTTTTTTTTTTTGGGTTTTTCTGTTCCACGATATTACCTCGTTCACTGTGCACTTTTGTGTGGTTGACTTTCTTAACTCTTTCTCTGTTTTTTTTTTTTCAACTTTTTTGTCAAAGGGGCACATTATTGAAATTAATGTTGGTTCATTATTGTGGATTATTTGTAGTTTAGTTCATTATTAACAGTTTAATAAATAATAATATTACCAGAGTATTATTACAGCATTTTAATATTATTTTAGATATGGTATCTTTAATGAATATAATTAGCAAAATTTAATGAGTGCCAAATTAATTTCTATTTTTAAGAGGCCTTCCAATATAATCATTTGATTATATTCTTAGCAGCATTGCTTGTTTATCATCATACATGTTGGCAAACGAATAAGTGTCTTAAATTTCAAGTAAAAAAATAATATTCAGTCTTCAAAAAATAATAATAATAATATTCATTAATTTACTCCCTTATATCGTGTTTGGAGTGAAGAATGGAATTTCATAAAATAAGAATAGGAATTCATGAATTGAAGTAAAAATCCAATTATGATTCATCAGTTTGGTGCAGTATACATAAAATGACATATTCAACTTTCTAGCAAAAAATAATAATAATGACATATTCAAATTAGTATATTAGTTATAGAATCCAAAATGATTTGCATAACAAATATAATGAAAGTAAAACACAAAGTGACTTTTTCTTCCATTATATGAAAAGTAATACTAAGCCCAAAATTTTGCCAAACTTTCGAGTACTCAAAATAGGAGAAATTTTCATTGCATCATATATTATTTTCTTATTTTTTTTATCACTCTGTCCTTTATTAGGAATGAATTATCTCATTATATCTCTCTTTATAGATAGTATTAATGGTTATAAAATACACGTTTTACATGATGAATGATTACCTTAATGGGGGGGGGGGGGGGGGGGGGGGGGTGTTATTATTCTTTTTTTCACTTATTTCTCTACACTTCTCTCTTTTATATACAAAGCCATATCAAACGGATTCGAACACATCCATGTTCCCACCATCCTCATTACTCATTAGTGCGATGTCATTATTTACATTATAGAAACAAAATCTATGGCATATGGGACCTACAGTGATGTTCAAATTGCACAAACATTTCAATTACAGATGTTACCTTCATTTCCATTTTCTCAGAAGATGAACATAATTGTCAGACTAGTAGCAGATGAAGCAATAATCCCAATATATCACTTGTTTTGAGCGGGTATGATTGATCTGAGCCCTTTTCCTTTGGTATTATCATTGTATTTATAATGGTTCTCATAAGTGGTTATTGATAAAGATCGTGAATAACGTAGTGATGAACGTGACAATTATATAGACAGTGGCTTTAGCATTGTAGAGCAAAAAAGGATTGTTGGTTTAAACCCACAATCCGAGCTCTTGTTTTATAGTCCCATAATTTGGGCTTATAGCCTAAGCTAAGCCTTGGATTAAAGCTTGACAGGCCTAACTGGATTAATAAACTCGGGATAACTTGATAGATCTAACCTACTTAGTAAACCCGGAACAAAACTCAAGAAAATGGGGAAAACATTGATGCTTTTGACAAAAAAAAAACACAAAATTTATTAATGTCAAGCATCCAATTAATCGTTTTTGAAATACAAAATAGAAGGATATAAGTATATAACCATGAATACATGATAAAGGATCAATTAAAAAACATACTTAGCATATGTCTACGACTTATGATTCTTTTTCGCGTAAAAACGGCTCAAAAGAGTCAAAAATATATGGAAAAAAGGTGTGTCATTATATCCTGTCATTATATACTTTGTATCCTTTAGAATGATACATGTCCTTTCCAAAATATATATGAATAACCGTCAGCGGCCTTGCCGAATCTTGGACACAGGGGATTAATAAACAGCCAAAAAAAAAAAATATAGGGTTTTGCCATCAGACACACACTCAAAATATTTAAATGAAGTATCTCCAAAAAAAGAAAAAAGAAAAAAGATTAAAATGAAGAACATTATCCTCTGACTTTATATACATGATAGGTTCAAGTTACGTAACAATAGGACTTTTACATCCTATTTTTAAGTAGGGAAAATATTTTGTCCAGTTACATAAGATAAGTCTCTCTTCTATACTAACAAAATGGTGGGTCATTTAGGTTTTCTTTCTTTCTTCTTTTTTTATAAAAAAAGGGTCCCACATCGTTTGTCTCAGCCACATAAGACAAGTTGTCTCCTGTTGCATAAGAATAATAAACCCTTTTTAATTATTATGTTAGTTACATTATGTTATGGACTACTTAGGTGGTTCCCACTTCTTGAGTATTTCATTCTATCACTCTCCCCTAACTTATTCCATCTATTACAAATAACCACCCACCAAGTATTGCATCACACCATTAAGTCACCTGCAAACTACCGACTAGGGACACAACCTCCTAGTGGATTTCATCTATATATAATAGCTAGCGGAGGACTCATCTGATGACCTATCTTAATATTCTATCTTAGTATTCACACTTGTGCTTAGAGCACATTCTATCCACTAAATAGGTGACTCAGACACGTAGCTATTCTCCTACACATTAATGTTCAAACATTTGGCGCCGTCGGAACGATAAATTTTTATTCCCATCCTATTGGAAGAGGACACACGGTCAGACCATTGCTACCCAAGAAACCAAGTGCGACTGTGAGCCTTTGACTAACGTTGCTCCCTTCTCCCCTGTATCAGAAAATTCTTCTCTCCCATTCTCCATTTATATAATTTTCCAGGCCAAGCTTCACAGCCTCCAACCAAACAACCCCCAAACTTTCTATTTCAACAATTTCAAACTAAAAAAATACAAATGGTGTGTGATTGGATCACACCGAATTTTGATAACAGACCCTCGTGGAAGCCAAGAAGAGCGCCACACCATTCTACAAGCTCATGTCCTCTATGAACAACCCCTTTAAAAGGTTCTATTGTCGAATTGGGAAGGCATGACTACAAGACTAGATTTCATAATATGTGGTTGCAGGAAACCTCATCAGGTGTGGAAATTCCAATTTTATTGCTTTGATTATTACCTTTATTAACCCCAATAGTCTTGCATCTAACATATTTCCTTAATTGGAAAAATTATTTACATCAAGTTTAAGGAAGTTTGTTTGCATCCCTTGTTTTTATTGATTGTTATAGTGTACTGTCCACTGTGTGGTTAATTTTATGAAGGTCTTCTATGTAGGTAGCATGCTATTTAAATTATCTGGCTATTTAAACTTGATTTTTTGCATTCTCATTTTATTCTTTTTGGAGAAACATCAAAAGAGTAGCTCGATCTTATTTAAAATTTGTTCTGTTCTCATTTCCTCCAAAATCCTATTGCAATATCACAATGCCTTGCATTATTATTTGAGTTAACATATTAATTCAGTATCACTGTCATATGATGCATGTAATTAAAATTGATCCTTTTAGCCGTTTCGGGTTTTGGAAAGGGAATTGTTTTGATTGAGGATAGATGGAGATGAGGATTGAGGAGTGAAGAACCTATTTATGTATTTTATAATGAGGAGCAATATTTTCACTACCAAAATTTTTTACTACCTATCTAATCACCATTAGATTAATATTTTCTCTCTCTTCAAAAATATTTTAACATTCTCTCTCTTTGATCCAACGAGGATGTGATGGGTAGTAATCCTATGATGATGTGATGGGTAGTAAGATAGTAGTGAGAATTTTTAGTAGTTAGAATATACTCACTCTATTATACTATGGGAAATATTTTTCTCATGATGCATGAGACAATGCAACATACAAAAAATGAGTGGGATCTCCTTTCTCTCTTCTCTTCTTAGTAGGTTTTATCCACTTTTTTTTATATTGCATAAGATAACATGAGAAAAAAATTTCTTTTATAATATTTGGATGCCACGTGAACAGAAATCTCTGTATATATAATATGCTTGGCATTTTGCTACAAGCCCATATCCGTAATCATATTCATGACTCACAATATTATGAGGGAAAAGAATCACAATTGACTAGGGAAAAAAATGCACTTTTTAAATTTGGAATAAAATACAGAAAAATACATTTTTTAAAATTAGAACATGACATAAAATCGTGAAACATAACAAGGGTCAAATTACAATTTATTTTACTCTTTTTGTATTTACTGGTTGTGCACTAATATAATAATAAAATATTGGAATTATTATTATTTTGCCAAAAACTGCTTTCGTCTAATTAAGAATAACTTATCAAACAATGATTAACTGAAGAAATAAAAAATCAATAACTATATTTTTGGAAATTACTTTTATAGATAAAGTGTACTTGTGAAAAATGTGTACTGACGCTTATATGTATATATTATCGTAATCAAACATAATGGCCTTTTAGTTCATTTTTCTAACCATTTATATGTATATTTTTAAAATTTAAAGATATCAGTGTCTATTGGAGTATTTATAAACTCCATAGCTATTATATTCCAGTTTTTAAATTATTTTTTATTTTATATATTTCTATAAAAATTAAAAAAAATTATAATATCGTGTTTTTTTTAATTGATCAACTTAGTATTATTTAAATTTTAAAGATACTGTCAAATGAGATTTATCAGATTTTCAAAGATAATGGAATTATAATATAAAAAAGGAATAGTTGCATGATAAAAAAAAAATTCTAAATAATTTTGTGTGCAATTCAGACACTCGGTTAGAAACAAAAAAAGTTTTTAAATTTTTTTTGAAGATAGTAGAATTCCATAAAAGAACAGCCTCATCATGCATTTACTTTAATGCAAAAACAATTAGATTCAAAATTTCAAAGATGCTGCAATATGATATAAA